GCAACAACATCAGCCGGGTACATAGTTCGCCACAAGTGCTGCCTCGGCCGCCCTACTAGGTTCTACAGCAGTGCCCGGTGGCCGTTTCTTCCCCCCCACCGACGCTTCCCCGGCTCTCTTTGTCTTCGGTCCTGAGATGGCCGTACTCTCTGCTTCTGCTTTCCCTCGCGCGCTGGCGCTTCGCGGACGCTTCCGCCTCCTGCCTGTGCCATTTCCTCATGAACCATGCCGCCCCGTCCTCGACCTTGTTGTACCACACCTCCGAGTTCTTGGCGCTCTCTTTCCATTTCCCCCCTTCCTTTTCGTCTCCCATGTTGAAGGCCACGAGGTCCTCTCCTAGACGAGACACCCAGTCGCTCTCCTGCCCGCCCCGGTATCCCACGCCCCCCGCCATCGCTCCTAACAGCATGCGCTTGGGGAGGCGGCTGTCCTCCATGCGCATGACAAAGCCCCCGAAACACAGTCTCCGTTGGCGCACGGTGGCCTCGATGGTTTCCTCGCAGCCTGCCTGGATGAGGGCCTGGGCATAGGACAGGGGGCGGTCTGAGCGTTTCCGCTTGCTCCAGCCGATGCACCGTGTAAGGAACTGGCGGTGGGTCCCATTGAGCTTCGTGTAGTGCTCCGCTGTTAGGCTCCACGAGGCGCACCCATACAGGAGAGTCTCCACCACTTCAGCCTGGAGAAGCCGGATCTTGAGCTGGCGGTTGGCCCGTCGCCTGTCGTACATCGAAGCACTGTTCCGGCGGTAGCACTTCCACGCTCGGCAGCTGCGGCTCGTGATCTCCCGGTCGGCCTTCCCGTCCGCGGAGATGGTACGTCCGAGGTACACAAACCGATCTGTCTGCTTGTACGTCTGGCCGGCGGCGCTGAGCGTGAACGGGCGTTCCTCGATCCCTTTCGGCAGCATGCACATGATCTCCATCAGTCCGAACAGGCCGGCCACGCGCACGATGACCGACATCATCTTCTCGAGACTCTCCGGCGAGCACGAGACGATGGCCGCGTCGTCCGCGTAGAGCATGGCCCACAAGGCCTCCGCGTCCGTCACCACCGTCGTCTTCTTCCCCGCCGACCTGCCCTTCTTGCCCGTGTACTCCACTTGTGTCCCGATCTTGACCATGTCCGCCGTCACCATGGGGTCCTTGTCGAACTCGGCCACGGCGACCATGAGCATCGCGGCAAAGAACAAGTTGAACAGCAGCGGGGCCAGGTTGCATCCCTGACAGAGGCCTTGGCCCACGTCGAACCATTCCGAGTACTGCCCGTCGTCCGTTCGGACGCGCGCCCTCATGCCCTCGTGGAATTGGCGAATGACCGCCAGCATCTTCGGGGGCACGCCGAAGCGTCGGAGCACGTCCCACAGTAGGTCTCGGTCCACCGAATCGTGTGCCTTGGTGAGGTCGACCAAGCACGCGAACACCGCAGTGCTCTTCTTCCTCGCGAGCTCATGGAGCCGGTGGGTGTGGGGTGCCAGTGGCATTGCTCCCAATGGAAAATTGCCATGTGTGCGCGCCTCGAACATTGAAACTCACCTGCTAGTCTGTTTGAATCTTGTCAATCCTCTATCCCGCGAGGCAGCTTGCCCGCGCTTTATTTTTCAGTGTATATCCATTCGCCATGGGCTATCGGGGCTGCGTTGTCCCTAGAGTTTCTCCCGCGCGGTAGAAGGGGTTGTCTCGAGCTCTCCTAGCGGGCTTTTGATTACCTCTACCCTCTCCAAAGTTTTCAAAATTTTGGTGAAGCTCGAGTAAATGTTCGTGGGCGTCTCTCAGCAGTCTTTTAACCTTTCTTTCTTTCGGGACTCACCAGCCGGAGATACGTCTACGTACGTATGCATACATACATACACAGGAAACACACGAGTTGTGTTTGGTCCACCGTTCACCGTCCACCGTCCACCGTCTGTCCTTTGCCGAGGTGCTTTCCTTACGTTTAGATGTCTTCGCCCCGTGTTTCCGACGTTGAATGTATTTAGGGTATGTATGTGTCGAACAAAGGGCATCGAAGGCTATCACAAAAACAAGCGAGCTTGAGATCTAATCTAGGGAGATATCCTGCGGGTTGAGGTGAGTGAAATTCGCCTTGCTTTCTGCAGGAGAGGAACAAGACAAAACTTAATGGTTAATGGTATCATCATGCATCGATCAAAACTGGCAGCCTGTGGAAGATGATGAAGAGGCGAGGAGAATGAGCGGAATTTCGTTGACAAGGCCGTTCCCAAGGATCGTGAAGGCTTCACACGTGCTGGGGTGGATCCTTGTTGCCGCAGGGTCAGCGGAGGTTGTCGCCGGAGCCCTCATCTTCAACGGTACGCAGTTTGTCGTCTGTCTGCGCTCTGGAAGGAGGGGGAATGGTGTTGTTGTTGTTGTTGTTGTTGTTGTCTTCACATTAAAAACCGTTCCGATCTCTCCCTACCCAGTACTTTCGTATGTCCGTACTGATACAACACTCGACGCGGTCGACTCCCGTGGTCGCAGGCTAAGTTACCCTAAAAAGGTACACTCAAATAAAATGGCCCCGAGGGGTCCGCAAGTCAATAGAAATCAACGGCAGGTATTCTGGAGTCCTCCACTCCCCCTGCGCGCTATGCGAGGTAACAACTGAGACTAGGGGTTACCATCACGGGCCGGAGAGAATGAGGTACACCCCCTTGGTTCAATCTTGGTACTTCACAACGCAAGCAAAAACAAGACCATCTGGCACAGAAAAAGAGAGAAAAAGAGAACAAGAGAAAAAGAGAAGAAAATAAAGGGAAACAGTAGGGATAGAGAATATGAAATATAAAGAACGAGGACAAAAAGGGACCAGGCCGAAAATAACAAGAAATGAGAGAGGGTGTGTGTGGGGGGGGGTTGGAGACTATTACTGCGTCTGTTTGGTCGTGTGGACGAAGGAAAAGTGGGTTTCATTAGATAATCTAGATATCGTTGTCCCCTGGAGGTACCTGGAGGTAATCTACACTCCCGATAGTTGGATGACGCTGTTGTCGTCGGAACAAAGAAAGAACGGATGTGCTTGCGAACATCTCAAGGGGTAACTAGCGAAGCAGGGTCCTCTCCCGGTACATGGCATCTGCGACAGCAGTCCTTCCTCATGAACGCACTGTCATGAGGCAAATCGATCACAGAGAGCAGGCGTCGTTTTCCTCATGGAGTTTTTTCAATTTTTCGTACATGTGTGTACATAGTTTACGGTAACTGTATGTATGTAGCCTATCACCGCGGAAGGAAGGCGTCGTCTGTCGGTTTCACTTGGACCGATACGAACGCCAGCAGGTTCTGAGGAGAGATCGGCCAGTTTTGGTGATGATGTACAAGACAACGGCGACAATAGAACCGTTGTTTAAGACTACCTGTTGCGTCCTTCTTGACTGACTGATGTTTACTTCTTGTCGTGTCATTCGTTTCGCGGCCCCATTCCGTACGCCCCACGGTCCAGACTGGAAATACGCGGGCGGCTTCTGGGTGGGGTTCATGGCTTTCGCGGCGGGGGTGGCCGGGACGTGTGTTTCCATCACGGAGCACTCTGGCGGGTTTCCCACTGCGGCGTTCTTCTTCCAATCGGCCATGTGCCTAGTGGCTGCTACGCTGTCGCTGGTGCTGGTGGATGGGCTAGGTGAGAGCGAGGCAGGCCGCATGAAAAGAAAGGCGACAAAGCGCGACATACAAGCAAGAGCCATTAAATGTATCTTACCTTAGATGTAATACAATATTGTAGTACGCAATGACCCTGTCCGGACAGGCATCAGTCGAATAGTCTCAACGAACAACGCCGATTGGTGGTGTTTCTGCTGCTGAAACAGGATTCTGCGCCGTGCTTTCCCAAACACGAGCACGCTTCCTTGCGACCGTGACTTCCAAGCATTGAAGGCGTGTGAGAGGAGCTACATGTTAATCGATGAGAATGATGGTGCTTGCATGCGACAGGCGTAGGTTGATTGGAAATGCAAGTGGTCGCAGCAGGCCATCGAGTATCCCGGTGTCATGCGGCATGCGGCACCGACACATGCATAGCTCTGGGCACCTCACGTCGGTTGTGCGGTACATATCCGAATAGCCAGTCTTAGGGTTAGGGTTAGGAGGACCCCGAGACGTCGGTGCGTCAATCCGCATCGATTGGTTTTGGTTGGTGCCACCAACTCTAATTCTGTAAGACGGCACCGCCCGTGCGTTCCATGGAACCAACGAGTAACTGGAAGTTATTTGGCCGAGTCGCGCTGGTTGCACCTCTCTTGCTGGTATCGTACGTTTGTTTCGAAGACGGTTGTGACTTTCTTGGGAGGGAAAGCATGTGTTTCTAGTTTCTGTGAGGTACTTGGGCCACTGGCTGCGCAAGCAACAGGTGTTCCTTCCGTTCTCGGTCGTACAATGTATGGATAAAAAACATACGAATTCAAGTTCATACAAGTGGAAGTATCTCGTATCACATCACACCAAATCACATCACATCAAGCCTGCTACATACAGTAGTTCACGGTAAATCACATCGCTCTCCTTGCTCTCTTCTGATGGCTTCCTGGCTGCTCTCTCGCACCCGGCGCTATTACTACTGCTGTTTACGTGAAATGTTTCGCAGTTTACAGCAAGGTGCATTCGACCGAGGGAAACTGCGTGGAAACGTCGTCATGCCTAGATGATATCTGGTGAGTGGATAGGCTTGCGACGGAATGGTTGGCTGGTGGCGGTTGCGGGATGGGGGGGGGACGTACGCTGGTGGGGGGGCGGGGGTGAACGATACTGGGTTACCTACAATCGGAAAGCCTTCCGGACTGTTCTATGGTTGGTTCTATTTCATGGTTTTGTCGGGACTGGGCGTGAATGGTGTACTCTAGACGGAACTATCTGCAACGCCTCTCAGTTGCATGTGCTGGTGTCGATGCGTTCATGTGTTATGTGTGATGTGTTGATGTGTTGATGCCCCGGCGGACGAAACAAAACCAAAGACTTTGCTCGGGTTCGGCATGATGATGGTTGTGCCGTACCTCATCTCCATCAAACGTGTGTTTGGTACTATATTGTCGTCTCTCAAAGCACCAGTCGAAACACTCTTGTAGTGGAGCTCTCGTCGATGTTGCGTGTGGCGCGAAATGAGTGTGCGTGCGTCCGTCCGTTCGCCTTTTACACCAACAGCAGCTACGCCGGTCAGCAAGAGGGATCACCTGTTGTTTCACTTGGTTTGATAGCGCCTTCTGGTCGTCCTTTTTGTTAGTGTCTTCCTGAAAGGGTCAGTGTTGATTGTTTCCGTCTACCAAAGGGAACAATCGTACGTCGTACACCACAATAAACCAGACCAGGGACTATTTTTGTGGGAGGAGTACGATGAGAGGATGGAAGATGTCTTTCCGTCCAGTTCGGAAGGACCAAAATGTTCGAACATGAACAATTTCACCGCACTTCTTTTCCGACGACTTGACAGCATTTTTTCATCTCCTTACGACGACACGTATCCCCTTGCGATATTGTGTCATGTCGTACCGTGTTTGTTTTTCCCCGCCATGATGCCCCTCTCTTCTCGTCTGGATGCGGTTGTCCTCACCACGATGCCCTCTAAGCTACGATTACGGATGTAACCGTCATGACATCCTTCTTTCCGTTTACATGTATTGATACTGCCTACAGCGGTGGATACGATTGCGTCTGCTGGGAGCCGGATGGGTCGACTGATTGTTTCGACGGGACATCAACGCGAAAGTGCTTGCAGTACCAAGGCGGCAGTTGCGACGATATTGAGGTGACGTGAAAACCCAAAATGATTTTGATTGGCTAGCTCGCTCGATACAGTACTGGTCTGTTCTAAAATACGGGGGTGGTTACCCGCCGGCCAGCTCGTGGAGAAGGTGATGGTCTGCCTGTGTATTGCGTGGGAGCGGTTGTGAGTGGGAGAGCGAGGTGGGGGCTGCCCTGATCGTGCATTTTTGGCGCGCCACTTCTGCCATCATATCACCCCCAGTTGTACCGTCGCTGAATCCAACTTGTGTGCCTTTAGAGAATTCCAGCCCGCCCACCGATCATGCTGTCAGGCAAAGGTGGTACGGTACGGTAATTCCAGTACAGAACAGTACGAGACGGGACGGAAAGGAACGGTACCGTGTGGTTTGCGACGTTTCATTGTCCGGTATTTCCGACGTACGTGGCAGACACTTGTTGTTACCGTGTAATAATAGACTTGGTGGGACAGCTTGCACATCCAACCATCTTCCAGTTGCCAAGCTCTTGTGGCATTTGTCGGCCACGCGGGGGTCATCGCCATGCCCATCATGCCCCCCCCCCCTCTCTGGTCCTTGCACTTTTCTGGGCGTTATGCTTTCAGGTCTCCGAGTCGTTGCTGGCAGCGTCGACCTTCCTCCATATCATCATCATGGCTCTCGTGGCTATTGCGATGCTTGTGACTTCCGCCACCTGCTGCGGCTGCAAGTACACGGTTTTCCTCCGAAGAGAGGACGGCGTTACCCGGGTACACCGCTTGTGACTTGTGATGTATTGTGACGATGCATTTTGGTTTGGGTTGTCGTCAGGAACCGGTTAGGTTTGATTTGTTACGTGCTTTTATGAGGACCAACGGCGGGGAACGGGTATCGACACACGGTGCTGCAGGGTAGCACTTGTTAGCTGCTGCCTGTTTTCACGCAGCAGATCAAATCCAGTGCAGCGCAAAGTTAAGGTTTTTTCTGTCGGGAAGGAAGGAGTATGGTGACGCTGACACTGACACTGACACTGACACCGCAATATCACCGTTCTCGGTGTGTGCCCCGGGCTGGGTAACAGGGGCCTTGCCTTTGGCCGGTCCTTGGTAGGAGTCATTGTGGCTTTGTCCTCGTAAGATTCATTGTGGCTTCGTCCTCGTAAAATTCATTGTGGCTTTGTCCTCGTAAGATTCATTGTGGCTTTGTTCTCGTAAGATTCATTGTGGCATCTAACCGTATCCATCCTTGCTTTGGCAGCGCACAAGTAGGGCACAACGCCGTTAACATGCGCGAAAGCCCATGGTCGTGGTACAGATTGATGTCACGAGGATTGCTGCTGCATGATGTGGTGGCGCTTGCGGGTACAGAGCAATGTAACAAGATTGGCCAATCAGAAAACTGCGGGCACCTGTTCTCTGTCTCTCGTGGCTTGCTCGGAATAAATTGCTTGAATATGTTTAATGCTGCCGGAGGAAGAATTGAACGTGTGTTTTTTTGCAACATGCACTGGGGAGGTGTAATGCATAGTCTGTTACGTTTCAGCTGGAGATCGCTGCCTTGTATTTGTTCTGATTGCGGATTCGTTTTTTTCGCGCAGCATCGGAATGCTCCCTCTCATGACTGAAAAGCGTGTGCGGTGATTTGTATGTAAATGCGAAGGCGAAACCCGTTGTGGTTTCACGCGCAGCTTCATGTCCTGCCGCTGACGCCATATGCGAAGGTGTACCGATTCAGGTAAAAAGTCGATCGGCGGATACCCTGCGAATCGGGTCCTCCTTAACATTAACATGTTGGAGTTTTGTACAGGCTCCTTTTGCCATAGGAGCTGTTTTAGCTGCTTTGATGGAAGGGTTGTTTTTGAGCAGTACACAGTACGACATATAAATGTACCATAACCGAGCAGGGTGCCGGTGAACACCTCCATCATCTCGATGGCGTCGCGTGTTTTAACCCAATAGTTACCTTACCTTGTTTGTATTCTAGAAGCACATCATTTGTATTGTACCATGCATTTCACAACAAAGCACACAGACACAACCAAGTGTCGTTCGTTTTCTGTTGTTATGCTCAACAGGGATTCAATGGAGAGCATTTCATTTTGCCGAAGTTTTGTACGTCAATTAATTGACGTGGTACGAAAAAGAGTGCCCACTAAACAAGAGGTTTTTGCGGTAAAGCATGCCTTTACGGGCGGGGATATGGGGGGGGGAGGGTACAGTAAAGCGTAGCGATAGTTTGTTTTGTCAATGTGGTAGACTATAGAGGTGTCTGGCTGCATTGTTAGACTTGGCTAGACTTGGACCCTCGAAGTCGCTGAAGACTCATGAACCAATCTGTTTCTATCAAAGTCTGTCTCAAATGTCGCTTCTTGGGAGGAGCTAGACTACAAAAGTAGCAGTAGACTGCACGTGTTTTGTATTGTATGGCGTTCATTGTGTCACGCGCACAGCAGCAGTTGTTGTACCAATTCAATGCAGTCAGTAGTTCTGCTTCTTTTTTTTTTGGGGGGGGAGGGCGAAGTCGCGTCTGCCCGGATGCGTGATGGTTGGCGGGACCGAAGATTAGCCGAAGTTTTAGGGTACAAGGAACGCCAACAGTCGTTTAATTGTGCGTTTGGTTCGGGAAGAAGGCCAATCGTCTGCAGTGCCACGCCTCAAGAAGGAAAGGAAGGATACATGGCAAGAACGACAACATCGCTTTCTTTCTGAGTGTTCTCAACTACGTGGAGGGGACAGTTGCGTGGAGATCCCAGTTGTATCGCCGCATGACGGTGCCAGCTGGAATCTCTTCTCTCATCGCCCCCCACACGTTGTCTTTGCGGCACCGCAAGTTGCCGGAAAACTGCCTTGATGTTGATCGTCAATCGAGCAACGCCAAGGACATTCATGTGGTCTGGTGTCGATGGGTACTACGTGACGTGTATCGCCAGACTACCGTCTACTCCCACGTGATGCCCAAGACACCTCGTCAGTAGTACACCTAAAGCCCCCAATCGCTGGGATTATTGTAATCGAGTGGAAATCGAAAACCCACTAAAGGGTGGTTCTTAACGACCAAAAAAACACGGAACATTTCACGGAAGCGTGTTTTCTTGAACATATATATACGGAGGCGTTTTTCCCCGGAAACGTGAAAAGAAGGAACCGGGGTTTTTCGGGGCTTGCTACTTTCTTCACGGATCCGTGTTATTGACAGGAGCATCGGACAAGTGCACCGCGGGCACTGAAACATCACTGAGAACGCTAGAAAGACCTGCCAGACTCACGTCCAGGTCTGTTGTGGAGATGGACACCCGGCAGAAGCGGCGTTCAGTCCGTTTTTGGTCCAAAACTAGACATTGCGTGGTGTTCTCGTCTTCAATTGTTGCTGTTGGTGCCGGGGAATTTTTTTCAATCACACATAGCAAACTCGAAAACAGTAGAACGGGTACAGCAGCAGTAGTACCATGACCTCCAACAACGCGCTGATTCCTTCGGTTCGGCTGTCTATATGATACCATCTCCCGGCGCCGTACTGCTTCGTGGGTATTGGGTGCTTGGGTGCTGCTCAATAAGGTGTGTGAGAGACGTGTGTGTGCCACCTCACCAAAATGCCGTTGGAAAAAATGCGGCGAGATGATCTGTTTTTGGTCGGACACGTCAACATCAATCCACGGCACCACGCAGCAGAAGAGCAGCAGGGCCTCCGACATGCCAATTCTTTCGGATTGGCCATCTATATGATGCTGGCCGTCAGCGCGGCTGCCGCCCTATGATTGTTGAGCTCGTCTACCTTTGGGCAGGTGGTGGTCAAAAGTGGGAGTCGCAACCGTGGAAAATGAGCTGGCAAACTGAAGAAATCGCAAGCAACACCCAGGTTGCGACACTCTGCCCTGCGCCTGTTGTTGCTGAAAACTAAAAACAGCAGTGCCGAGCAAAGCGTGCGTTCAGGANCCGCCCTATGATTGTTGAGCTCGTCTACCTTTGGGCAGGTGGTGGTCAAAAGTGGGAGTCGCAACCGTGGAAAATGAGCTGGCAAACTGAAGAAATCGCAAGCAACACCCAGGTTGCGACACTCTGCCCTGCGCCTGTTGTTGCTGAAAACTAAAAACAGCAGTGCCGAGCAAAGCGTGCGTTCAGGAAAGGAAACGTACTTTTTGCGATGACATCACGAATAGAACAAGCGAAAAAAAGCCGGTTTTCTTGTCACCGTTCCGTGGAAAATTTCACTGCTGTTTCGAAGCGTTAAGAAACACCCTAACGACGTGCAACGGAAACTCCCGTGGGGGACATGTAGAAGAAGCTACAGCTGAGATCGGAGCTACATAGAGCGACGTAGCTTTCCCTCGGTGAGTCCGATAGCCACACTTACCTACCTCTGTTTTCAGACATGTTTCGTTACCCCAAAAAAGTGATTTGCTTGCTTGCGAACATGACGGCTAGACCGGTCTGCAGGAGTCTGGACAACGCTGCTAGGGATAGGGACATGCCTCAAGGCACAGCATGTCCATATTTCCCCACACACGAGGTGAGAGATGCATTAATTTTACAGAGAGCATGTTGGTTGGGTCGTTTGGGCGTTTTTACCGGGGGCGGGGCGTACTCATGTTTCGCAGCATGTATTAGGTGTGAGACCATTGACCACGCGTCTCTGCGTCCCCGAGAGGACGGAGCCCTATTCCCACAGGACCGATCACCGATGGCCGATTGTTCCTTCCTACTTTGCCAAAGGTGGTTCTAAAATGTTTCCCTATCCTATTCATCTTATCAAACCACTTCCGCCTTTCCAGCCCACTTCCCATGCCCCAGTACATAGCTACCGTCTTCTCCTGGCCATTCCATGCCTCTACCCTCCGTCAGTTTTTCCATCTCAGTCATGTACGTTTCCATACGTTTCTCTCTCCTTCACGTAAAACGGACATACATACTGCCTAAACATCCCTAAATCTTCGTCTNGGGGGGGGGGGGGGGGGGGGGGGGGGGGGGGGGGGGGGGGGGGGGGGGGGGGGGGGGGGGGGGGGCGTACTCACTCATGTTTTTCGCCGGGAGGGGGCTGGGGCTCCGGGATGACGATGAACCCCTTCATCAAACCTTCGGGAACGGTTCCGCCGCAACCCTGACGAAAATTGCAGATTCCTCTGAAAGAGATAGTACCAAGAATAGGATGGCGCCGGGCAGGAACTGGGCTCCGTTGGCCACGGTGAAGAGCATCTGCCGGTTCTTTGGTCCATTCGGTGGGAATATGGTGGTTGTCAAGCTGTGGTTGGTATATTCCGTGGGATGAAGCCCTCCAAGGGTGATATTCCCGGGTGTCCGTGCCACCCTTCACAATAAATAGTGCGTGTCGGGCATTTTCGATAGACTGCCAGCCTGCCTTCCCGCCTCATTCAAAATCCGGTGGCAAGAGCTAGCTTTCACACAAATTCGGGATTAGAGTAACCATAGTCAGATTTTTGCCGTTTACAAACATCCCAGGACTTGCGCCGGCCGGCGCGCACCATGTGGTGCTCAATTAAACTAAAGGAGGTATTTTCGGGGTAGCGTTGATTGGCTTACGAATAGCTAGAGCAATGAATCGCTGCACCGACGGCCAAGCAAGGATCGCAATAATTACCTCATGTTGAGCTCGAAAACGTTGCGCTATTCTTAGCATCAAGCGGAAAAGGACGCCGTCGTTCGGTTCCGAAACAACTCAGACTTGTGACAACATGAAGTACGTGCCATCCTCTAACAATATCGTATCGGCCATAAAAGGGATACGAACACGAGTTTCCCGGTAGCCACAACCGAAATCAATCAAAGTGTGCCACGGCAGTGAGTGGTAGATGCCATCAACCCCCCCACTCTGCTCTACGATGACGGCTGGCAAAATTGTAAAGTACAACACCGGGAGAGGGACGGGGTAGCATCTGCATTCTAGGCCATACAAAAGAACAATGGCTAGGACACGCGCCTCATCCAGCGGCAACACGCTGACACCTGGGTAACCCCCCACGAGAGCCAGTCGGGTGGCCTCATCCAGCCCCTCACCCTTCACGAAAGTCAGAAGCCAAAGGCGGAGGGACCCTTTGACACACACACACACACACACACGGCTCCGAGCACAACAAAACGCATGGCGGCACCTCTCATGCCCTCGGTGCTCCATGCAAAACAACAAACCAACGGTAGGTGCTGCTTGTGCCTTGCCGTGTAAGACGGCGTTACTAATTTAGTTTAAAGCTGTATGTGCCACAACGTAGCCACAAGCCCTCGCAGGCTTCACATCCTATTACAGAAACGTGCCGCGTTCACCCGTACAGTATGCGGCAAGAACGTCCTACTCGAATCTTCCGTTCGGTCTTGAAAAACGCCCCAATAGTAAAGCTAACGGTTGCTACTTGTGTCCTGCCCGAGACACATGGCAACACCAAGTGATGATAACGTACTGCTGGTACTGTACACGACAGAGTTGTCGGGATAAACCTCGCGTGCGCCTAGCCGAAATGATCTCAATGTGCACAGCGTGAGAGACGGGCTACGCCCCGCAAGGACAGCGCGCAAAATACTTCTACAGGAGTTCACGTTCGGTTATAGGTTAGGCTACACCCCGCATGCCAGACCAAGGCCCACCCCCACAGCGGCTCCGACGACTGTGTTGACGA